CCCCCCCGAGTGCGCTGGGAAACGCCCGCCAACCAGAGCAGCAGGACTCCCTCAGGCCTCCCCAGCAGGCTCCGGGCAGAGGTGACGAAGCCTGCGTCTGCTCCCAGCTGGGCCACCCCCGCCCAGAGGACAGCAAGGGCACACTCGGGCCTGACCTGGCGGTGCTGTCCAGCGAGGCAGTGGACTCGCCCAGGGCCGTGCGCAGCATGTGGGGCTCCTCGCTGTAGGTGGTGTTGCAGTTGAGGGAGCGCTGGGGGAGGGAGATGGTTCTCGGTGAGCGGAGACACAGGGTGCAGAGGCTGGCCGTCCCCACAGCGAGCCTCAGCGCTGGCCTCTGACAGTGTCCCGCTGGGCACAGAGCACAGGAGCCTCCCCGTGGCCAGGAGAAGAGTATCCATTGCTCAGCCCCCACCATGGTTAGAGGACAGCCTCCCCCGGATCAGCCCCCACTTCTGGTCGGGGGTCCTGGCCTCAGGGCCCTGTCCTCCAGAGACCTGGAAAATCGGGGCTGTGGCTGTGACAGACCTCTCTACTTGGGCTCTATGCCATGGTCCATGGACGGCTCTGTGACGCCCCCTTTGGGAAAGATGCCGAGACCATGGAGCTGGTCTAACGCTTGATCCAGAACACACATGGAACCCTGGTGAGCAGTGTAGCCCAGCCCCAGGCCCCGTGGGTGTCCCTGGGCACCTCCTACCGTCAGCAGGGTGGCCCTAGTGGTGGCCGAGTCATCGGGGTACGGCTTCTTCCCGGAGAGCACCCCCTTCAGGTGCTTCCTGACCTCCCCGTTGAGCACACAGTGGAACAAGAGAACGAAGAGGCCCTGCAGGGAGGGCGGCGGGTCAGGAAGGCCACTGTCCTGCCAGCCCGAGACTGCCAAGCACAGCCCCCGAGGTGTGGAGCTGAGAGAGGCCAGAGCAGCCGGCCACGGTGGCCGCAGAGACGCCACCAGGGCCCATGCCCAACCTCCCCTGCAGGAGCCTGGGCTGGGCAGCCAGCATGTGGGATGGCAGGGCCCATCCCAGGCTACAGCCCTCCCTGGGGACCCAAGTGGGATTGACACCTGGGCAGGGAGTGAGCCCCTGTACTGGCTGATGCTGAGGCCCTTCTGTGACCTGAACACACAGCAGCCACACTGGAACCACAGCCACGGTGTGGCCCCATGTGTCCTGAGAGCTCGGACACAGCTGGACGCTGGGTGATCTCCCTGGGGACCCTCTCTGCCAAGCGGGGTGGAGACATTTCAGAAAAAGAGCAGCACAGGTGGCCCAGGACCTCACCAGGCCTGGCCCAGGCAGAGACCCCACCAAGCTGTCACCTGCAAGCAGCTGAAGATGGCGAAGAGGTAGTGGAAGGTGAGCACGTCGCTGTTCACCGCCAGCAGCCCCAGCAGCCAGGTGGCGCTGATGAGCAGCAGCAGGAGGAAGGCCGACCTCAGCAAGGAGCTGCGGGCGGGGCGGGGTACAGTGATTCCCGTCCCCTCCCTCCCAGCAGCCCGCCCACTCACTG